GAACCGACATCTCACAGGGAAACGTGCCTGCCCCTAACAGTTCTCCCAGGCACACACTTTAATAGCAGGGAACAGATTTACCCATATATATAAAAAAAACAGGCTACCACATACCTGGTAAGTGTTGTCAAAACTGTCATACATGAACCTGGTGATCAGAGAGGTCTTCCCAACTACAAAAGAAGAAAAAAATTACTTTCAAGCAGCAGTGGAAAAAAAAATAAGCACTGCTTTGGGAGCAACAAGTTGGTAGATCATCAGAACAAAGTTGCCAATCTGAGGGTACCTCCCAGCTACACCCTCTTGCGAAAAAGCCAGCTGAGAAACTCATTCACAACACGACAGAAGGATGAAAAGCCAAATCCACCTCAGCAGGTCAGAAATAATCCTGAGGAATACCTGATGAGGAATTGACCAGGAATACCTGGTCTCAAATTAGGCACGTCGTGATGCTACAACAAAGAATTGTTTGTTTGCTTTAAGCAAGCAGTGAATCTGCTTTGTTACTCATATTTTGCTCCTTATGTAATCCCCCAGTCCTGGGCTTGCAAACACAAGAACAAGACACTATTTAGCTGCTTCTTGATGGACAGAAAAGCAACGTGCAAATCTCACAGCCTTTCTTCACAGCAAGGTTTTACATACACAGTAAACGTTGGCGGCTTGTTTAAAAACTTTGTGTCTCCAAATATTGTCCAGGAACGAAACACAGACCTGACAACAAACAGGAATCAAAGACAAGATCTCTGCCTCCCAGTCGGGAAGCTGGAGGTGGCCTAGAAAAATTCAAAGGATGTGGATTGAAGAGGGAAAAGGAATAAACTGCCTGGAAAGGTCGTGAAATTGTGAACATCGGAGAGGGCTAAAAATCAGCAGAGATGTCGATCCCACCTCGGCAAGGCAGGGGAATTGGACAGCTTCTGGAAATTCCTCCAAGACCTACAGTTCTGGGACCGAGAAGGAGGCAGGATCTAAAGAGATCAATACAGCACAGAACACCCCAATTTCAAGAAAGACACACTTCATCCATCTATCAAGAGGAAAGGGGTGCAAAAGGGAGGCAACTCCCAGGTAAAACAAAAAAAAACGAAGCCATGAGAGGCA